GGGGTTTATAAGAAGGCTCGGGAGGCCCAGCCTCCGCCTTATTGGGAGCCTTTTGGGGTTTATTCTCTTCCCTTCTAACTTGGTGAGTTGGTTTTTTATTATTTTACATGCTTAAAAGTTTGATTGTGGGGTATGGGTTGTTTTTTTTTGTTATTGTTTTAAATATAGTGTTGGGGCCTTTTTTTAGGGCGGGGAGGAGGAGGAAAAGCACTTAACATTTTAACATTTTGAAGAGGTTAATCCGAGAAATATCCTGACAGTTGGGAGTGCTGGGGCCACCGGGGTGACGCGCTCTCGGGCAGTTGTGAGCAGCTGAATGTCCATGACCCTAGACAGATGGGTTCTGGGAAATACCTTAAAGGGTGGCCTGGCCTTGATCGCCCCCAACCCGGGGTGAAAGGACCTAGGCTGCGAGGAGAGTCCGGCAACCGTCTCAGACCCTCTGTGGGTTTTCCACATGAAGTTGCCTGCGCGTCACCAGAGCGAAATGTCAGAGAGGTACCTTCCTTCCCCAGGCTCGCGCGCGCACACAAGGCGGCCACTGAGGCAGCGAGAGGGAAAGTGGGACTCCGGTCCCCGTCCCCCGTTACCCCACTCCCCAGGGCAGTCCTAGGGGCAGACAGATTTCTCCTCGGAGCATGGGTCCCACACCTTGACGGTCTGCACTGTCACCCACTGCCAGTCGGTCCGAGCAACTTCCAAGGTTCGCGGGGCCACCAGCGCCAGCAAAGTGTCTTGAGCTGAGCGGCTCCAGGCTGGGGGAAACGATTTTGCAGAGGAAATAGGTTAATTTCCTTCTGGGTTGTTTTCATTCCCTGCACCTCAGCAGACAAGTGACAGAAGTTTGTTAGTGTAAAATGCCATCAAACACGAGGGGGAGGGGGGGTCGTAGAAAAAGCTCCCGGGGATCCAACTGGGGAAACGCAATTACAACTTGTTAACGTGATAGCTGGTTTTGTTTGCACAGCTAGACCCCGCTCCTTTTGCGGAAGGAGGTTTTTACCTTTGGATTGAGATTTCAGCCTCGGTAATCTGACTGTTTTGGCAAACCGTACTGATGAGTGGCAGGCTGCAAGAAAATGCCAGCTCCTATGCTGAGATCTCCCCAGTACCAGCACTATTATGTGGCTCTGGGGATGGGGGGATACGGTCGAAACACCTTTTCTGGTAATGAAGGGAAGGGCGTTTAAGATGGAAACTGACAGTACGTAAATAAACAATGCAACCAAGTGGAAAAATGGTCTTAATGAGTACCCCTAGCCCCGAGTTTTCCTTCTGTGGTTTCCAGAAACAGGACTCTTCCTCAGTGGAACTCCCGAGGAAGACACTTAAATTAGGGGCTTGGGTTTCAACTCAATGGTCTTGCAAAACGGATGAATTGGTTGTAGCCAGTGATTCATTCAGCTTGGCTGAGGCAGTTTACCAGGTTAGTGTTGGGATTTTTGGTTTTTTTATAGAGAGAATTCATGTAAGTGCCCCCCACTCAGAAACTGGTCTGGACAACTGGGGCTAGAGACAACTTGTTGGAAGCCACCTCCTCCAGGCTACACCTTGAAGGAGATTCCCAGGGCTTTATTTAGTTCTGCTGACTGCAGTCTCACTGCCTCCCAAGACTCTTGAACTTCGATCCGAACTGATCCTAGGCTAACCCCAGAGGTTCTCTGATAATGCAGTATTCTTATGCCTTCATGCCAAATCATTACAACAACACATTAAAATATACAGGGAAGGTCCCAGGTAACAGGATCTCCAAGTCTTGTAGGATGCCCATTTTTTTCAGGGTATGCCTCCTCCACCCACCCCCTTCTGTGAGATGGAGTAGCCCAAGGTGGCATGAAACTCCCTGTGTAAATGAGTCTGGTTTCAAACTCAAAGCTCACTTCCTGCCTCGGCTTCCTGACTGCTGCATCTATAGGTCTATGAGCACGGAACCTGGCTCCATTTTGTTTTGCTTGATTGTTTTAATTTTACATTCTCTCTTTTTTCCTTCTTGAAGGAGGCACTAAGATAACCAAAAGCTTCTAGGAAATACTCTAAACAGCCCAGCCTTTTTTCCTAAAAGACATTGGGGGTCGTGAGGAGAAGCCAGCGAGCAGGAGCTCAGTTAGACTAGCAGAGTTTTCTAGTTGGAAAATACCATAGAGACTGCTTTCATAGATGAAATTTAGCCATCAAGAGATTTCTGCCAGGTAGTGAACTATTACCTGAGGGCTTCCAGAAGATAAACCCACTGGTCTCTCTGTAGGTAGTAACTAGAGCCAATCAGGGTCAAAGGTCATCCTGGAATTGCCTCTTCGTAGGAGATCTGGACTCAGACCCTAGTTAGGTTCAGAATTCACAAGTTGTGAACACTGAAAATCAAGAAGTGAGGCGGTCGCCAGAGATCATCTGGTTGCTTAAAGCAGCCCAGTCCTTTAGATCCTCCCAAGGCCTTTCCCATCGGGTACAACCACAACACCAAACAGGCAGGCTGTCTTTGCATTCTGTTACTTGTAGAGGCTTTTGCGTAGCCCGGGTCAAAGGTTAGGCATTGGTTAAGTTGTGCTCTGGGTGACAGAGAGCAAGAAGGCCTGCTGAATAAATGGCAGAAGGAAGAGAAGAGCTGAGGAAACTGCTTATTCTGCAACCAGACACTTCCTCATTTTAGGGCTCCTTTTTTATAAGGCATGAGCTGTGCTTTGGTTGGTGGGGGTGTCTCAAGACTCTCACTGTTTAGTAAACTTTGAGGAGGGGCTATTTTTGTTTCTGTTGGGTTTTAATGTTTATTGTTTTGCTCTAGGGGGTTGTTTGTCTGTTTTTCTGTTTTAGGGAGAGGGAGAAGGTAGACAGTACTGTAGCCCAGGCTGAAATTTAACTTTTTTTGAGACAGAGTCTTGTTGTGTGACCAAGCCGGCAATCCTCCTGCCTCAGTCTTCTGAGTGAACCACAATGCCCAGTTTGTTGAGTGAACTTTTAGCGATCGTATGTGATACACAAAATGTTATGCAGGCAGTGGTCTGGGAAGAGAAGCTGATTGCCTGCCTCATGCAATCTTTTTTTGCCCCGGGGTAGGGGTTGAAATAGGGTCTTGTTTTAACCTGAACTAGCTCAAACTTGCTATGTAGCCACAGGTGATCTTGAACCCCTGATACTCATGCCTCCACCTCCCACATGTTAGGTAGCATGCTACCATGCCCAAGTTTTTGTTTTGTCAGACAGGGTTTTTCAGTGTTAGCCTTGGCTATCTTGGAACTCATTCTGTGGACCAGGCTGACCTCGAACTCACAGAGATCCGCCTGCCTCTGCCTCCTGAGTGCTAGGATTAAAAGTGTGTGCCACCACCACCTGACAGTACCCAAGTTTTTATGTTCAATTTTAGAAAGTACATGCCTGTATCACCTCCTAGTGAGGCTTCCACTCTGTTATTACACTACATTGTGGACTTAGCTTACATCCATCCATAGTAGGACATAGGATGCTCCAGACTCATTCGGAGAGAGGCCAATTTACCTTTATGATTATCCCAGGAATAAGGAAGCAAGTTTTACACACACACCCCCACCTTAAGCCAGTATTAATTGGGCATGGCTGCTTTATGATTTTAATCCCAACACTTGAAAGCTGGGACAGGAAGATTGCTGCAAGTTTGAAGCTAGCTGGAGCTGGAGCAAAGTTACATCTGGTTGTAGCCAGAACAGAGAGGTATAGACGGAAAGCAAGATTTTAAAGCTCAAGTAAAAGAACCAATCGCCAAGTCGGGGCTCTGAAAATAAACAGAAGGCAGAAGTTCCCTGTCTTCTGGCAGCTGTCACAGAGCAAATCTAATGTCCAGCTGCTTCACACCCACTCGGGCAAGACCCTTCCAGGGTTTGCACTTCTGTTCTTAGCTTAATTTCCTTGGGCCACCCACCAGGCTCAGCCTGAAAAATCAGCTGATTTTACTTTTGCTAAAGGAAAAAAAAAATGACAGCTGCTAAAGCTGGACGATGTTAGAGCATCTTCAGTCACTGCTGGCTTTGGTAAAGCATGCTTTTACTCCCAGCACTTGGGAGCTAGGGGCAGGATGATGGCTATGAGTTCAAGGCTAGCCTGGTCTATATCTGTATCAAGTTCCAGGACAGTCAGAGCTACGTAGAGAGACCCTTTCTCAATAAACAACAGCCAAGAGACTCCCCAGTCACTTCTTTGACTGAAGAGGAGTGCAAGCCAGAGATGGGAACTGACTACCTCAAGCCACACAGTTGTGTGGCTAGTTTAAGACCTCTGTACATGGAGGTCAAGAGTACTTTGGGGATGGTGAGGTGACTGAGTGGGTAAAACTGGCAACCTAAATTCAATCTCAGGAAGCCACCTGGTAGAAGGAGAGAACCAACTCCCCCAAGTTGGTCTCTGACTTCCACATGTACTCTATGGCATGAATATACCCCACTCCTCCTGAAACATGCATGTAAATAAATAAGCTAATGTAATTAAAAGCATTTGTTTTGGTAGGGTGCTTTGTCAAGCTAGGGGTGTAGCTCAGCTGTTGGAATGCTTTCCTAACATGGATGAAGCTCTGGGTCCCTAGAATCACATCAGGCCAGTGTAATGGCTGAGCCCTACAATCTCAGCATTTAGGAGGTCTCAGAGAAACAGAAGGGTCAGAAGTTCAAGGTCATCTTCTATTCCATAGCAGTTACGAGACCAGCTTGAGCCGAGTGAGACTGTCAAAAACACAAAGGTGCTCTGGCAAAAATGACTTCCTCCCAATAAACATAGAAAGCACTTTCCTCCCTGGCCTTTAGTCTGTTGCTCGGTTGGCCTGGACAATCTGATTCTGGTCTATTTGGGCCAAAACCCTTTACCTCCCTGGACCTGTTTCCCTGTTTTGCCAATGAGGAAGAGAACAAGCTGACTTTGGACTCCCTTGCAGCCTCAACCTCCTGTAATTCTAATTTCTTTTGAAGGCTGTAGGTTGATCCTAGCACCACCCAGCTGTTTCAAGAATACTGTGAGCAGCTTCAAACAGAACTTGGAGGTTGTCTGAACACAGCCTTCTGGTGTTGGTGGGAACTTTAATTTGGCTCAAACTACAGCTGCAGTACTACTCATCCACATAAAATACAGAATTTAATCAGGACAAAGGTTCAACTTGTCTCCCTAGGATCTTTATCCCAATATATTTCTGTTCAAATTGGCCCCGAGGGCACCATTAAGACTTAAGACTTTATGGCCAGGAGGTGGTGGCGCACGCCTTTGATCCCAGCACTCAGGAGGCAGAGGCAGGAGAATCTCTTGTGAGTTCAAGGCCAACCTGGTCTACAGAATGAGTTCCAGAGCTACATAGTGAGACCCTGTCTCAAAAAAAGCAGAAAACAACAAAAAAGAGGGGAAAAAAAATCTAGGTATGAAGTGATAGTCAAGACATAAAACTCAGATTTTATGTTAGAAACCAGCCTGGTCTACAAGAGCTAGTTCCAGGACATCCTCCAAAGCTACAGAGAAACCCTGTCTCGGAAAAAAAAAAAAAAATCAGATTTTTATGACCTTATAATCTAAGTCACTTACTTGAGCAAGTAAGACAAATGCATGAAAGTAAATGATTCCCCATTAAGTGCATTAAGTGATTCCTCTCACATGAAGGTGAGGCCACCTTAGTTGAGTTTATCAGAGGAAGCCTGATGGGAAAAGGACCAGAATGACCAGGGCTGTGGAGGGTCACAGCAGCTGTAGAGACTGTGCAACTTCAAGAAATGACTTGGCCAAAAGCAAGGTAGCTGGAGACTACAAGAGCCAACAGGAACCTTTTTTGACCTTGGAAGGTGAGTCAAGTTTTAGAATCAGAAAAAAAAAAAGCTACCAAGATAGATTGGGGTCTGATTATGAGGCACACAGAAAGTGGGGCTCATTATGAGTAGGTTTTATCCTTCAGAAAGAACAAAGTGATTGACAAACACACACACACACACACACACACACACACACACACACACACACACACTGCAATGCAGTGTTGCCAAAAGATTCATTTTTTAGCTAGGAGGACCCTGTGGGCTTCACAAGGAGTAGGTCCAATAGATGGATTCGAACAACAGCCAAGGCCTTGGCAGTTTGCAGGCTCACAGCCACTATGGCCTCCCTTCCCCTGGAACAACCACCATCCCAAAGCCAACACCAGGATTTATTTTGTTGTCTCCGAAACCACAGCTGACTCCCCTAGCTGTCTGTCTTCAGGATGGCTTTGGAGAGACTACTGCAGAAGGAGGAGTGGTGTAGAGACCTCCTTTGCTGGCAGACTCCCGACTCCCATCATAGACCGAATGCTGAACTGTCCTGAAGCTGCCCAGACCACATTCTGGAGCTCTTTCCCAGCCCTTGCTGTCTTTTCATTCATTCTTGGGCATGATGGGCAGCCTGCAAAGCCCTTTACTGCAGTGAGCATAGGCCTCTTAACACATCCCGTGTCCTGTTTCACTTGGCCAGACACTCACCAGGACCAGATTTAAATGAGGATATAGTTCCTTGGAATACAGGATGAATGAGAATAAGCTAGGTTACATGTGTCGCTGTTTAAAGTTTGTGAATTAGGAGCCGAGGAGATGTTTGCTTTCCATTCTGCCAAGCCTGACTACTCGAGTTTGGCCCCCAGGACCCACACTTCGGAGAGAAAAAACTGAGTCCTGAAAGTTGTCCCCTGACTTCCACACGAATGCCTTGGTTCAGTGGTTCTCATGCTGTGACCTCTGACCCCTACAAGTTGTCCTCTGACTTTCACGTGCATGCATAGGCGTATGGGCACACACACATCCACAGAATTAATTTTTCGAGACAGGGTTTCTCTGTGTTAACAGTCCTAGATGTCCTGGAACTCATTCTGTAGACCAGGCTGGCTTTTTAACTTTTTTAAAAAAGATTTATTATGTATACAGCATCTATCTGTATGCCCAAAGGCCAGAAGAGGGTGCCAGATCTCATTACAGATGGTTGTGAGCCACCATGTTGTTGCTGGGAATTGAACTCAGGACCTCTGGAAGAACAGCCAATGCTCTTAACCTCTGAGCCATCTCTCCAGCCAAGACCAGGCTGGCTTTGAACTCAAAGATTCACCTGCCTCTGCCTCCCAAGTGCTGGGATTAAAGATGTGCACCAACCACACAATTAATTTTTAAATTGAAAAAAAAAAAACCTCACAAGTCTGCTACATACATACAAACTGCTTTTGTTTGTTTTTCAGTTATCTAGTACATACACAATCCCAGATATTGGGAAGCCGAGGCAGGAGAATCCCAAGTTTAAGGCCGGCCTGAGGGGTGGGGGTGGGGTGGATCTGTGGCTCAGAGATAGATCCTTGCCTAACTTATGCAAGGCCCTGTATTCCATGCTCAGCACTACAAAGGGAAAGGAAAGAAACAGCTTTGCCTTATGCCTTAGTTGTGTGAGTGTGGCCACCTAAATCAGGAGAAGAGCTAATGTAAACATGCTAAAATATCTGAAAAATTCACTGGTGTACTAAATAGGGTACAACCATAATCTTTTATTATTTGTTTGTTGTTTGGGGAAGGGGAAAGGTAGTTTGTTTTGCTTAGGGACAGGGTCGCATGAAGGAAGCCCTTGTTATGTATTTACCTGGACAAGAGTCCTTATTGTCAATATGAGCCCTAAAACTATGGATAAATTTATCACTATGTAACACTACTTTTTAGTTGGGCTGAAATTGTACATGCCTATTTTGAAAAAAAATCTATGTAACTGAAGAGGCTTTCCAGTATGTATAGTTTATCCTATGAACTCCGCAGGCTCTAGAATCCCCTGGGAGATACACTTCTGGGCTTGTCTGGGAAGGATTAGGCTAACTGACTAGGAAGCTGCTCCTTAATAGGTGGGCCCTCTCGAGGCTGTGTAAGAAGGAGCCAGGTTGAGCAGAGGTAACCATTGCTATCTGCTTCTTGATTATGGATGACCAGCTCACAGGTCATTGACTTCCCCACCTTTGATGGACTGCATCTTTAAACTGTGAGCCAAAAGAAATTCAACCTTCCTTAAATTGCTTTTATCAGAATATTTTTGTCTCCACAACAAGAAGTTGACTCAGCCTCCCTCCAGTGTTAAATTAGTATCTTTTTTTTTCTTTTGTCTGTTTGGTGTTTGGTTTTAAGAGACCGGGTTTCTCTGTGTAGCTTTGGGGCCTGTCCTGGCACTCACTCTGTAAACTAGGCTGGTCTCGAACTCACAGAGATCTGCCTGACTCTATCTCCCAAATGCTGGGATTAAAGGTGAATACTGCCACAGCCTGGCAAATTAGTGTCTTTTACTTAGCTGTGTTAAGGCTCAGGATTGCTCACCCTGTTATAGTTTGAACAGAAAGTCATAATGAAACCAGGTTAAGTAACTTGGTTAAGTTGACATGCTCAGGGCCTCACAGGTCTGCAATGCCTCATTTAGCCGACATTAAGTATTTGTCATGGATCCTAAAATCAATTTGCTCCTGGTGATCAACTTTGAGGAACAGAATCTAAATTCAGAAAACTCTTAGGTTTTCATGGAGAGTTGTCTTCTGTCCGGAAAGAAAACTCTATATGTGGGACACCAAATACTACTCAGGGTGCTATTACTGAGGGGAATGTGGGAGCTAAAAGGGCTGGCTGGACGATCTGAATGGACAGTGGTACTAAGTAGAAATGTAAGGGGAGTCACAAGCCACAAGGGCGTGTTTCCTGGACGGTGCAGACATCTTCCAGTGTCCTCTCGGTGTGAGGCTTCCTTTCCTTCCTGTCAGTGTGCCTCTTGGCCAATGCATTTCCTTCCCTCCCTCCCTCCCTCCCTCCCTCCCTCCTTCCTTCATCCCTCCTTCCTTCCTCCTTCCTTCTTTCTTTCCTTTTCTCCTTCCTTCCTTCCTTCCTTCCTTCCCTCTTTCTCTTTCTCTTTTATTTTATTTTATTTTATTTTATTTGAGACAGGGTTTCTTTGTGTGGCCTTGGCTATCCTGGAACTCAATCTTTAGACCAGACTGGCCTTGAACTCAGAAACCCATTCTGCCTCTGCCTCTGCCTCCTGAGCGCTGGGATTAAAGGTGAATGCCACCATTCCCAGCTCCAGTTCATTTTCTTTACCTAATTTCTATTCTTCAACATAAGCATCGATGTTTGGTCAGGTGGCCTGTGTCCTTCAGGGGGGCCTTCAAATATTCTCCTCAGGTTTCTTGTGTCTGTTTATTGTTCCTCCCTTTTAATTATGACAGAGGGACCTTATTTTCAAATTCTTTGTGGGCCCCATGTATAATTCAAAGATAGATATAAGATTGTATAAGACTATGCTAACTCTACATGATTTGAATATTTAATAAGTAGTTTTTGTCAGTAATGTTTGCTAAAGATGATTGGATCAGCTAGGTATGGTGGCATGGACCTTCCTTTAATCCCAGCATTCACAAGGTAAAGTCAGGATGAATGACCTTGCATACATAGTGAGTTCAAATTCAAGGCCAGTTTGGTCTATGTGAGACCTCACAAAAGAGACAAAGATGAAGAGAAAGAGAATGGTCAACCCTCATATTGCTAGTCTGAATTCTTTCTCTCATGTTTTAATTTCAGATCAAGAATGACCCAAAAGAATTCGAAGCTTTGCTCCAGAGCCAATGTGTATACCCAAGTGCCTGATGGAGGATGGGGCTGGGCAGTAGCTATTTCTTTTTTCTTCGTCGAAGTCTTTACCTATGGCATCATCAAGTCATTTGGTGTCTTCTTTAATGACTTAATGGACAGTTTTGATGAGTCCAACAGCACAATCTCGTGGATAATATCAATATGCGTGTTTGTGTTAACATTTACAGGTGAGTACATGAATAGTACCGGTATGTGTGTTTGTGTTAACATTTACAAGTGAATATGTGGATGATATCAATATGTGTGTTTGTGTTAACATTTATATACTAGTATATCTGTCAGCACAAGCCTAGGCTGTGCACCTGGCCCTTTTTATCTGCTTGTCCCCCTACCTGACAGCAGTCAGTGTATCTGTGATGCATTCTCTCATACGTCCTGTTGGACTGTCTAGCCTCAATTAAGGAATTGGGTTTTCAGAGGGTTAGAGACCGGCAAGAATTAGGAGACATTGAAGAAAAGGCCATGTTTGCCAAATGTAGTGTCTTTAGTCTAACACACGCATTAGACACATACCGTCTGCAGCTTGGGAGGTAGTTCAATGGGAGAATGCTTGCCTGGCACACGTAAAGCCGCAGGTTCAATTCCCAGCACCATACAAAAAGAACAAGAAGTGAGATATCTATATTGTGCATGGTGCTAGTAGTCTGTAGAGTACTTTGAAGACAGTGGTAAACCCCAGTTCTCCAAGGGCATAGTTACTGGCTAAGAAAGGAACATCCAAAAGTCCCTAGGTGCTAGCTTCAGTAGCTCACAAACTAAAAAGGGAGCCCTACAGAAGATTAGCATGACTCCTGAGCAAAGATAACATGCAGATTCAGAAGGCACCTCTTCTTTTAAACAATTAAGGGTGTTTCGCCTGCATGTATGTCTGTGTACCATGGGTGTGCCTGGAACAAAGGAAGCTAGAAGAAGATATAGGATCCCCTGGAACTGGAGTTACAGTTTTGGTTCACCATGTAGGTGCTGGGAATTGAACCCTAGTCCTGTGGAAGGGCAGTCAGTGTTCTTAATTGCTGAGCCACTTCTCTAGCCCCTCTGTGCTTTTAAAAAGAAACTCATTTGGGGCTGAGAGCTGGCTCAGCAGTTAAGAGAACTGACTGCTCTTCCAGAAGTCCTGAGTTCAATTCCCAGCAATCACATGGTGGCTCACAACCATCTGATGCTCTTTTCTGTCATAGAGTTGTAAATGCAGATAGGGCACTTTATAAATATATATATATATATATATATATATATATATATATATCTAAAAAATATACTAGACACAGTATAGTTAAAATTAAATGCTCATAGCAACATGCCGAGGAAACAGAATCGAAACATTTCAGGGTGGACACAGGAAGAAGAAAGGTGGGATGGGTAAGGGGTAATCGTCAGCCCTCTGTCTTAGGGTTCTTCACTCACAGATCCAGCCAGCCAAGCTGAAAATGTTACATGGCTATTGACTTGTACTAGGTCTACCATGATTAACACAACCAGAAGTCTTCCTTGTTTCATTATTTCACCCTAAGTGGGATGTAACAGCTATTTTATATGCCATTACCTTGTATTGGGTTGTAAGGATCTGGAGATTTTATAAGTACATGGAAGATGTGCTTAGGTTATGTGCAAATACTATGTCAGTGTAAGAAACCTGAACACCATGGATTTGGGTTTCCTTATGGGGGAGTCCCAGAAGCATACCCCGTAAGATTATAATTTATGTATTTTTTTAAATTTTTGTTGTACTAGAAACTAAACCTCACGCTTCACGCATGCTAGGCAAGCATTCTACCACTAAAATTACAAAAACTGTCCTGAGCAGACAGAGAATCCCATCACCTGATTCCCCAAAACCTGATTCATCGTGGCACCATCCTCCCAACCCCAGCAACACAAAAGAAGATGGGGCTGAAGGGCTGCTGCGCTCTCGCTTGGATGGGCCTGATTTGAACATGCATGCCACCATCTGTCTCGTGCTCACCTGTCTGTGAGAGGCAACACCAAGGCTTTCCTGAGCTCGCCTCAGGAAGCCAGCCAGGCTGTCTTTAAAACTCATCCACTGCCATGCAACATCGCCTGTGAGGTTACTGCTGAAGTTAGAACCTCTCTCTGAGCGTAGGTCAATTTAGCCGTATAGCATTCTAAAAGGCTGCTGTCTTCTGTCGGTTTGTTTTAGAGAAGGGATCTCACTATGCAGAAGTGGTTTCAGCAGCAGCTATCAATATAAGCTTGCAGGTGCTTGTGGCCAAGCTGATAGGAGTTTAATCTCTGAGAGCCACGTGGTAGAAGCAACTCCCAAAAGTTGTCCTCCAACTAGTGCTCCCACATACAGCATACAAAGTTAGAAGTTTAAAAATACATGTTTACATTCTGAATACTAACAGTAATGTGTAGATTAATTCCAACAGAAGTCTTTCCTTTCCCCTCCCCTCCCTTCTATGTAGTGTGTCCTCTTTGACCCAGCTCTCAGTGGTTGACATATCTTACTGTCCTCCTGCCAGTGTTAAGTAGCATGTAAGTAGGAAAGAATTTGCTAGACTTCAGTGTCCCAGGGGATGGAGTGTATAGAAGCCAAAGCAAACTGAGGTTCCTTAGTGTTCTGAGTTAGCTGCTATCTTTTAAGTGAACATGTCTGAGAATCGGCCTTATTTCCATCCTGGATTGTTTTCCAGACAGTCAAATGAACTAAGTAGATGGGATTCTCTTGACCACAGACGGGTTTCTCTTAAAAGAATCCAGAGCAGTGAAGACAGAAGATAAAAACAATTAGAGCGATCACAGTGAAAGCCAGTGTATGCTGGAGAACCAAATGTGTATATAGCTTTGTATTGCACATGGTAAGCCAAGATCGTTCACCTATGAATATATTTTGCATACCACCCTCATCAATGCTGGGATCTAAGGCTTGCTTGTGCAAGGCAAGCGCTCTACGCCTGAACTATGCCCCAGTGCCTTGTTTTACTCTTGTTATCTTGTTGAGGTACTAGGGGATTGAACCTGGGACCTGGCTGTTGCCAGCAACCGCTCTACCCATGATAGGCATCCCTAGCCTTCTTTTAAATTTTTGTCCAGGGTGGCCTTGAACTTTCAATTGTCCTGCCTCAGCTTCCTAAATAGCTAAGGTTGCCTTCTTGTACCACCAGGCCCAGCTCTTTGTGTTTTAAATTGGAACAAATGCTGAAATAACCTCTGGCCTGACCATTAGCCATTGCATGAAACACACTAGGTTCTTATATCACTGCTTCAAATTCACAACCTGCAGGAAGGAATCGCAGCGAAGACAGCGCAGAAGCCCAAGTTCACAGGTCACTTTCTGTTCCTTCCCCCTGCAGCCCCCCTCTCCACAGTCCTGAGCAACCGCTTTGGACATCGGCTGGTGGTGATGGCAGGAGGGCTGCTTATCAGCACTGGAATGGTGGCTGCCTCCTTCTCCCAAAGGGTGTACCATATGTACATCTCCATTGGCGTCATCTCCGGTGAGTGTCTCTCTCCTTGGCTCCAAGTTCTCTGCATCTTCACTTGGGGAAGGAGGAAACTGAACCCAAATTGTATTTCTTCTTCTCCCCCTTTTTTTTTCTTTCAAGTTAATTATGTCTGAGATCAGTGATTTTTGAACCAGGTGATAGGGTCCCCGTGTAAAAATACATTCTCAAGTGTCCAAGAACTTCTGTTTGATTTAGGGAGAAAAAAAAATTTACTCGTAATGAAGAGAATTTTTCTAGTTTCTCTAGTTTGAAGCCAAAGTGCATCGTTTTCACAGCCTAAGACTTAAGTTCTTACGCTAACATTTCTCAGTTCAAGTTCTGAGCACCCCGAGATTTGTAAGGGAAAAGCAGTATGCTGGACTTAGTCTTGGGGGTGTCTAAGAGGACAATGATGGTAGGTGAAATTGATGTGTACATCCAGTTTGTAGATCTTAAACTTTGTATAGATCTCTGCACACATCAAAAGACTACATTGGCTGGACAGGATGACACATGCTTGTAATCTCAGCACTTGAGAGTTAGGCTCAGACAGGGAGATCTTGAGGCCAGCGTAAGTTACATGCCTCCAAAGAATAAAGGAAAAAGACATTCATTTCAAATTCAAATATTACACAAACTTTTGCTGATTGATCCCATTGTGAATTGTATAAATTTGAGGAGCTCTGGAGAACAGTTCTCAGTTCTTAGTATCCCTAAATGACTGTTGCAGCATTTCTTTGTTTCTTTATTTACTTTTGAGACCATCTCCTATATCCCCAGCTGGCCTCCAAGTGACTATGCAGTGGCCAAAGGTAACTGAACTCCTGACCTTTCTGAATGCTGAGGTTACAAGTGTGTATTACCATGCCCAGTTTTACGTGCTACTGGGGACTGAACCCAGGGCTCTGTGCATGCTACGCAAGTACTCTAACAACTGAGCCACCCTCGAAGGCCTGCGATGAAATCCATTTTCTTTGCTGTTTTCTGCAGAATGAATGGGTTGTCCCCCAGAGTTTACAACTTTTGTATAAAGCTCCTTGCACACTAACCATGCCCTCCAGGCTTGGACCATGTATAGTTCTCAGCAGCCCTTTTGATTTTTGCCTACAGGTTTGGGGTACTGCTTTAGTTTCCTTCCAACCGTCACCATTCTGTCACAGTACTTTGACAAAAGGCGTTCAGTAGTCACTGCGGTCGCTTCTACGGGAGAGTGCTTCGCTGTGTTTGCTTTTGCACCAGGTAGGTGAGTGACAGTAGCTCATTAGCAGGGGACCAGGAAAGCCACTCTGGTCCTATTGCTATTGCTGCACTAACTTTGGCCGACAGTGTGGGTGAGTCTCACTCTGCGTAATGAGATGTCACTTGCTCTCTCTTCAGCACATTTTTAGGATATCCTCCTTCTCTCCTATTTTAGGAATTCACACCATGTTAATCTTAGTCCAAGTTTACATAAACCGGTACATAATCAGTGGTAAGACTTTCTTGAAACATGAAAAGACAACCCCTGAATTATTTGGTAATTTGGACTGTTTATATTATTATCATCCCCTTTCCAAAAGAGCTATATTCAGTGTAGATTTAAATTATGCCAACAAAATCAGTTTTCATATGTGTGTAGGAATAATCTCACAGCAAACACTTTATCCCTGGTTTATCTTCCCCCAGCTTAATGTTAATACATGAAATGCAAGAAAAAGTATTGTAATAGATAACTTTCCAGGCCCAGATTTCTTTCTTTCCCCTTCTTTTCTTCCTTCCCTGGTTCTCTGCCTGCCCTCTTCTTGCTGGGGATCAAATTTGGGGCCTTTTACATGCTGGGCAAGCATTCCACCACTTTGCTGTTGCATCCCAGCCTGATGCTTGCTCTTGATGACTGCATCAGGTGGGTTGCAAGATTGCAAACAGGAGTGATAAGGAGTAAAGTATTATAATACCTGAAACTTTTCAGGTGATTCACAGAATTGTACACACACACACACACACACACACACACAGAGAGAGAGAGAGAGGAAGGGAAGAGAGAGAGAGAGAGAGAGAGAGAGAGAGAGTCAGAAATTGAATTTAGGTGAAGGGTGAGCATATCAGTGCCCTTCTCTCCTTCTGTTCCCATTTCTTAAAAAGAATAAAACACAGACAAGAGAAGAAATCAGTGGACCATGAGTTCCCCGAGGGTAGAAATGTTACACGAGGAGCTGGGCAGATGGCTTGGTGGCTAAGAGTAGTTAAGAGTACTAACTGCTCTTATAGAAGACCCAAGTTCAATTCCCAGCACCCACAAACCCACCTGGTGGCTCACAACCATCTGTAACTCCAGTCCTTGGGGTTCTGGTGTCCTCTTCTAGCCTGTGAGGGCGCTGCATGCATGTGGCATACAGAACATACTCAGGCAGACACTCTCGTACACATAAAATACAAATAAAATCTCAAAAGAGGGGTTTTTGTTTGGTTTTGGTTTGGGGGTTTTGTTTTGCTTTGCTTTGTTTTGCACATTTTCACTGCCATGAGGGAGATTCACACCCTCCTTGACCATCTCCTTCCCAGCTACTCTGGTCAGCAGCCTCTGCCCTGGGTCCACAGTGAGAGAGGCACCTCTCTAAGGATACGATCAAGGAGACACTGGAGCACCATTTCCTTAAATGCTAGTAGAATAAGAGAGAAAGTCTGTCTTTTGGTCCACAATGGAGGCCTGCAAATATCTGTAGAAAGGCTGAACCACCCTCGGGAAACACTGACAAAGACCAAGGTTTCAGGGCAGGCTACCCAAAAAAAAAAACGGACAGGCAAAAGCAAATGTTTTGAGTTAGAACTCAGAAAAGAGAGCAGGCACCACAGCGAAGGTCTTGGCAACTGCTTCTTGTTTTTTTTTTTTTTTTTTACTTACTTCCATCGCTACACTGAGTGTATAGGATATATAGTGATATGGGTTCAGAGTTGGATAAATTATGTTTACAAAAGGTCAGATAGAAATTACAAAAAAAAGATACTTTATTTTTGTGGTACCTGAGGGGTAGAACCCAAGGCCTCCTGGATGCAAGTGTTCTACCACTAAGATATATCCTCAGGCCTGGGGATCTGGTCAGCTTTGGGGACACTCTCTCTCTCTCTCTCTCTCTCTCCCTCCTCTCTCTCCCTCCCTCCCTCTCTCTCTCTCTCTCTCTCTCTCTCTCTCTCTCTCTCTCTCTCTCTCTCTCTCTCTCTCTCTCTCTCTCTCTCTCTCTCTCTCTCTCTCTCTCTCTCTCTCTCTCTCTCTCTCTCTCTCTCTCTCTCTCTCTCTCTCTCTCTCTCTCTCTCTCTCTCTCTCTCTCTCTCTCTCTCTCTCTCTCTCTCTCTCTCTCTCTCTCTCTCTCTCTCTCTCTCTCTCTCTCTCTCTCTCTCTCTCTCTCTCTCTCTCTCTCTCTCTCTCTCTCTCTCTCTCTCTCTCTCTCTCTCTCTCTCTCTCTCTCTCTCTCTCTCTCTCTCTCTCTCTCTCTCTCTCTCTCTCTCTCTCTCTCTCTCTCTCTCTCTCTCTCTCTCTCTCTCTCTCTCTCTCTCTCTCTCTCTCTCTCTCTCTCTCTCTCTCTCTCTCTCTCTCTCTCTCTCTCTCTCTCTCTCTCTCTCTCTCTCTCTCTCTCTCTCTCTCTCTCTCTCTCTCTCTCTCTCTCTCTCTCTCTCTCTCTCTCTCTCTCTCTCTCTCTCTCTCTCTCTCTCTCTCTCTCTCTCTCTCTCTCTCTCTCTCTCTCTCTCTCTCTCTCTCTCTCTCTCTCTCTCTCTCTCTCTCTCTCTCTCTCTCTCTCTCTCTCTCTCTCTCTCTCTCTCTCTCTCTCTCTCTCTCTCTCTCTCTCTCTCTCTCTCTCTCTCTCTCTCTCTCTCTCTCTCTCTCTCTCTCTCTCTCTCTCTCTCTCTCTCTCTCTCTCTCTCTCTCTCTCTCTCTCTCTCTCTCTCTCTCTCTCTCTCTCTCTCTCTCTCTCTCTCTCTCTCTCTCTCTCTCTCTCTCTCTCTCTCTCTCTCTCTCTCTCTCTCTCTCTCTCTCTCTCTCTCTCTCTCTCTCTCTCTCTCTCTCTCTCTCTCTCTCTCTCTCTCTCTCTCTCTCTCTCTCTCTCTCTCTCTCTCTCTCTCTCTCTCTCTCTCTCTCTCTCTCTCTCTCTCTCTCTCTCTCTCTCTCTCTCTCTCTCTCTCTCTCTCTCTCTCTCTCTCTCTCTCTCTCTCTCTCTCTCTCTCTCTCTCTCTCTCTCTCTCTCTCTCTCTCTCTCTCTCTCTCTGTGTGTGTGGGGGGGGGGGGAGTCTCAATTCTGCTGACTCAGCACAAAGCATCCACGGACTATGGGAGTGGACAATCATGGTTCAACTCCAGTCCAGTTTTACTAACAAAAACAGACAGTGGGTCAGATTTGGCCTGTGGGCTATTGCTTGTTGAACATTAATGTAGGTTGCAGACATAGCCTCCTTCTTCAGCCTCTGCCAAAAAAACCCCACTGTCCAAAGCTATCAGAAAACTAGGCTGGCAGTTTTTATAGCATATATAATAATAAGTGTACACATTTTCTTATTCATAAAATGAACCAGAATACAGAATAAGGGATGATCTACGGGGCTGGGGTGATGTCGCCATGCAATCAAGCATAAGACCCTGAGTTTGGATCCCCGGCAGCCATGTAAAAGGCTGGTATGGTGGCATGTATTCCCAGCACTGGAGAGATGGAGACGGATGGATCCCTGGGATCAACCAGTCTTACTGAATTCCAGATTCAAGAAGAGAGTCTGTCTTCAAGAGTAAAGAGCCAGGAGTGTAGCTCAGTGGTAGAAAAGCCTTAAACATAATCTCTATCACTGCATTAAAAAAAAAAAGAAAGTGCCAGGCAGTGGTGTCTTTAATCCCAGCACTCCAGAGGCAGAGACAGGCAGATCTCTGGTCTACACAGTGAGTTCCAGGACAGCCAGGGCCGTTACACAGAGAAACCCTGTCTTGAAAAACAAACAAAAAGATCAATCAAGACAGACACCCAGCATTGGCCTCTGACCTCCACATGCAAACACACACTTACCATCCCCATGCCCCATCCCAAGTATAGTCTAGAATGACATGCATTCATCCTAGCTTTGAGCAGAATCTGTTACTAAGTTTTTAACCATATTTCTCCTGCTGGATCTAGAGTCTAATACTGACCTTGGATTTCCCTTTCTCCACTTCTGTCTCTTCAAGCCATCACGGCTCTGAAGGAGCACATTGGCTGGCGATACAGCCTCCTCTTCGTGGGCCTGCTGCAGCTGAACATCATGGTCTGTGGCGCCTTGCTAAGACCAATCACTATCCAAGGACCAGGGTCACCGAAAACAATCACTCACGAGCCCCGGAGAGAAGTGCAATGTATGCTTGAAAATGAGAAAACAAGAACCTCAATAGACTCCATCGACTCAGGAGTAGAGCTAACTACCTCACCAAAAAATGTGCCTAGTCAAGCTAACACAGAGCAGGAGGCCAGGGCGGAACAGCAGCAGACCCTGGTGGCTGGCCCTAACCACAGCCAGAAGAGAGCCCCACTGCTAGACTTTTCCATTTTGAAAGAGAGAAGCTTCATCTGTTACTCCTTGTTTGGCCTCTTCGCCACGCTTGGCTTCTTTGCGCCTCCCCTCTACATCATCCCTTTGGGCATCAGTCTAGGCATTGACCGTGACCGAGCGGCATTCTTACTATCTACAATGGCCATTGCCGAGGTGTTCGGAAGGATCGGGGCTGGCTTTGTCCTCAACCGAGAGCCCATTCGGAAGATCTACATTGAACTCATATGTGTCATTTTACTGACGGTGTCTCTCTTCGCCTTCACTTTTGCTACTGAATTCTGGGGTCTGATGTTGTGTAGTGTGTTTTTTGGCGTCATGGTCGGGACCATAGGAGGGACCCACATCCCACTGTTGGCAGAGGATGACGTCGTTGGAATCGAGAAGATGTCATCTGCAGCCGGAGTCTATGTCTTCATTCAGAGCATTTCAGGGCTGGCAGGACCACCCTTGGCAGGTAGTTGAATTGCTTTTTCCGTATTTTATCTGTGGGTGTGCACGTGCCATTTACTTAGGGGTATACATTGCCGTGTGTGCATGTGGAGGTCAGAGGACAACTTGGGGCAGTTACTTTTCTCCTTCTACCGTGTAGGGCCCAGGGATTGAACTCAGGCTGTCAGGCTTGGCAGCAAGAACATTTTACCCACTGAACCATTTCTCGGCCCATGCCAGGTACTTTAAAAACACAGAATGCAAACCTGTCCACGTTAATCTTCTAGTTGTGCTGGCTTGCTTCATGGGACTGATTGTAAAGTCTACTTCCATTTTTACACTTGAGTTGAATTTTAGTTTCCCTGGATTAGAGAACACAATAGTTAACCCTCTCAGTTTTAAGAAGAAAGAAACTAAGAAGCCTTAAAATTGAAGGCAGTGGTCATTTTTATTTTATGTATATTGGTGTTGCCTGAATATATGTATGTGTACCATGGGCATAGCATGCCTATTGAGGCAGAAGAGGGCAAAGTATATCCTGGGACTGGAGTTATACACAGTTGTGAGCTACCATGCGGGTGCTGGGAATTGAACCCAGGTTCTCTGGAAGAGCAGTCATTGCTTTCAACCTCTGAGCCATCTCTCCAGCCTTTCTTAAGAAGGTAAAAGAGGTGGGCATGGTGGTGGACAACTATAATTTACTGTACTTGGGAGGTTGAGGCAAGACGATCACGAGCTTGAAGCCAGACTGGGCTACATATAATGAGTTCCAGGTCGCCTGGGTTGTACAGAGAGACCCTGTCTGGAAAAAAAGTGAAAATAATCCACAATGGTCTTGTAGTTCCATTAACCCAAAAGTCAGGTGGCAATAAGGTTATAATGTGCGTGATTACCCTCTAGCCCTAAACAAGGCAAGGTAACAGAGAACAAGTGGGAGGCTTGGACTTGCAGACACGGGTTCTTGACTTACATTACTGGATCACCGCATGACCACTGCTGTGAGTCTGAGACCAGGTGAATTTCAGGGCAGTTTAGGCTAATTGTGAAACCCTGCCTCGGTAAATAAATAAATTAGAGAGTAGGTCAAGCTAAGAGATAGAGAAAATTTTGGATTGAACAAGAGCCCAGATAAGAGGGTGTATGTGGTAGCTATGTCACTAATAGTGCCAATGCTTTCTTCCAGGCCTACTGGTCGACCAGAGCAAGATCTACAGCAGGGCCTTCTACTCCTGCGCAGCAGGCATGTCGGTGGCTGCTGTGTGCCTCGCCTTGGTGAGACCTTGTAAAAAGGGCCTGTGCCAGCATCCTCATTCAGGTGAAAAACAGACAGACAGCCATCACAGGAAGGCTTTACAGGACATACCAGAAGACTTTCTGGAAATGGATCTTGGGAAATGTGAGCACAGGGTTCATATGAAAATGGATCCAGTGTGACACATTTTCATGTCATAGCTTCTATGTTGCCTGGGAAAAGAGCCCCTGGGGCAGGTGCCGACCATAGGACCCCACCTTCAAAACTGCATAAAGGGAATGCATGTGTGAGCAGCAATAGCAACATCTTTCCCTTTCCCGTAAGTCCATTTTGCTTGCTCTTTAAGCCAAAACCAAAACAATCAAACACTTTTCCATACAGGAATCCAGCCCTATTCAATAGCAATACAAAGATACATGGAAGGACGCTAGTTCACATCCCAGCACTACAACAATTCCATGAATTGGCAAACTGGTGTTCAAAGTACTCATGTGTATAAACTATTATTTTATAAAGCGACATCCAGCCAAATTCATGGAAATGAATTGGCCATTCCAAAAAGAAAAAAACAATCTTGAATCATTAAAAAAAAAGTTGCTGATTTTCAGACAAACAGGTAAATTATTTTTTTAAACAATTTGAAAAATTACTAAGGTTTAAATTGACAAATTATGGCTTCTGAGTTTTCTCAGTATTGCATGGAAAGAAAGCAATTATTTAAGACTAAGCATTTGATTAATATGCAAAAAACCTAAAAACATATAACAACTTGAACTTCAAAGATTGCTACTTCTTTTTATGGCCAGCCATCACCACAAGTATTTCAATAGAAATGTTAAATTGCATTCATGTTTCCTATTGTTTTTCATAATTCAAGAAATAAGTGTTTGTAGTACTTTTTTTTTAATTTAAACCACTATTTATTATTAAGTTATTCTAGGATGATTAGAATGATCAAAAGAAGGGCCGGTGAGATGGCTCAGTGGGTAAAGGTGTTTGCTGCCAAGATTCATGACCTGAGTTCAATTCTTAGAACCCACATGGTAGAAAGAGAACCAACTTCTTTGAGTCATCCTCTGACCTCCACACACATGCTATAACATGTATGCACCCACACACATATATACACAAAACATTTTAAAATGTAAAAAAAAAAAAACCCTAATAATCAGAATAAATAAAAGGTGATGTACACACCTTCCTCTTTTTTTTTTTTTTTTGGCTTTTTGAGACAAGGTTTTTCTGTGGAGCCATGACTGTCCTGGAACTCCCTCTAGACCAGGCTAGCCTCAAACTCAAAGGAGTGCTGGGATAAAAGGTGTGCACACCACCACCTGGCTACACAGCATTTTTCTTCTTACCTCCTTTCTGCAGCTCTTTAAATTCTTCAGAGAGCTTTGATTGTCTCCTAACATTAATCTCCTGACAGCCCGAGCTGTAATGATTCTTTGGCGTTGTTAAAGGCAAAGTGTGCTATTTAAAGGGGCGGGGAGATAATGGATGCCAAATCGCCTCCGTTTTTAAATTATCACCTAAGAATACTTGAGGATCTTCTTTGACCAGAATTATATTTCATTGAATTGTTGGAACATTTCCAGTGGTTTTTGTTGTTGTTGTTGTTATTCAATCTTTTAACTGTTGAAGCATTTCTTCGTTTCATCTGAAGTAGGAGAAGCGTTTCTGTAACTATCACAAGTTACAAGTTGTAATTTACATCTTCCATAGAACTCGATTGTCCTATGTTGCCATGGGTACCAGGCACCTGGTCACTGCTGTTGGCAAGTTCCACTACATGTGTGTATAGTGTTCTGCATTCTAGCAGTTCTCTGTAAAGGGGGCAGTGTGAGGACGAGGGGGGCTGCCTCCTTGCCTGTTTGACTGTATCTCCCCGACTGGGTGGCCGGTGCTTGCTGCTCAGTATTTCTTCATCTTTACTGTTCAAGACAACTCAGGGGGAACTTAGAACAAGCCTAGTTTGGTTACAGGTACACACAAGCTTGAATCTTTCTCTGCACTTAAGATGAAAGTGGCGTAGTTCGTCACCTCCGGCTACCTTTTTATACAGCATCTTATTAGCCATAGAAATGGGACAATCTGTAGAACTTTGGGGAGGGTGAGTGACTTGAAGACAGTGTCTGTCCGAAAACTCGGACACACCTTAACAAGGTGGATGTAGCAAAGCTCTGTGAGGCTGCCCCGAGAAACACTTTAGGCTTGTGGGCAGTTTTACAGACGCCAGTGACTTCAGCACTTTACGACCTATTTTATACTACGAATGTTCAATACAATTTAATATTTATAACTGATTTCTGAGGGGTCTACTCTAAGTTTATTCTGTTTACTGCATGAGACAAGAACGTGTATGCCAATTTCAGTATGTCAACGATCAGGGGTGTAAATGTTGGGAAGGGAAAAGAAAAGACAGGATTGTTGATTTGTTCTGTAGGAGTGACATTCCGGTACTTCTGGATTTACAATAAATTTATGGCTTTTTATTTAAAGAGTCTGATGCTCTTCTGTATTGAAGTGTTTTTGACTGATTTCAGAAACTGTAAAATCTTTGCGCTGCCCCAGGACACAGGATTCCCAAGGCATGAGTAACTCCATCTCTCTCTCTCTTCCTCTCCCCCCCCCCCCCCCCCCCCGTCCATAGTCATGAAGCAGAGAAAAATGCCCAGAGACTTTAAAAATCATTTTCCTTAATTCTTTGGGAATTGTATACAGAATTTTTTTAATTTATTATTTTATGTGCATTGATGTTTTGCCTGCATGTGTATCTGTGTGAAAGTGTCAGATTCCCCAGAACCGGAGTTACAGACAGTCACTAGCTGCTGTGAGGGTGTTGGGAATTGAACCTGGGTCCTTTGGAAGAGGAGCCAGTGCTCTTAACTGCTGAGTCATCTCTCCAGCCCCTGTACAGTGTATTTTTGAGCATATTTCAACCCTCATTCCTCTTTCTAGCTCCTCCCAAATTCACCCCTCCCTCCCTCCCTCCCACCCCTACTTCGTATCCTTGGGTGGTTTTGTTTTTTGGTTTATAACCCCATGGAGTCCACTTTGTGTGGTTATGGGTATGAAGCAAGGGGGACCTATCAGAGTTCACACCACTAAAGAAAATGGAACTCCCCTCCCCAAAAGCTGTCAGTAGCTCAGTTGGGGGCTCATGAGCCCTTCTCCGTCCGTCCGTCCATCTATGCTGGGATGTTGTCTGGCTTGACTTGTAAAGGGAGAGCTGCTAGAGTTCACAAGCACAGCAGCCCCTCAGGTTAGAAGACGCTGGTTGTGTTCTAGTTCTCCCTGACCTCTGGCTCTTAGAATCTTTTCACCTCCTCTTCCAAGACAGTCCCTGAGCCTTGCGGGGGCGGGGGAGTGGTAACAGGTGTCCCATTTATGTCTGAGCATTCACTCCACTGACACATGCTGTCTGCATACCCAACACTAAAACTGTTCATTTATTTACTCAGAGTTTCACAGGCTAGCCATAAACTCTTCATATCCCTGCCTCAGCCTCCATATACACTATGTTCAGCTGACATTTTTTATTTTATTTTATTTCTGGTTTTTTATTTTATTTTTTTGAGACAGGATCTCTGTATGTATCGTGATTGTCCTGGAACTCTAGATTTGTAGAGCAGGCTGGTCTCAAACTCACAGAGATCTACATGCCTCTCTCTGGCTCTGCAGTGCCAGGATTAAAAGCGTGCACCACAATGACAAGCTTGACCATGTATTTTCTATTGATCCCTATAAATTATTTTGGAATACTTTAGAAAGTAATCCAAAGGGAAAAAGAAGAACAACAGGACAGATAAAAATTAAATAGCCTAATCACGTGAAAAGAAACAATTCAAATTTTTAAAATGAAACCTAATTTAACCTGATAATATGGTTATTATTATTTCCCCTCCTCAGCCACTTCTTTTAATGAGACAGAGCCTCAACTTTGCCCTGCCTGGCTTAATACTTGCTGCATAATCCAGACTGGCCTGAAACTCATGATAATCCTCCTGTCTCATCCTCCTGCATGCAAGAATTAAAGATAAATGACACCATTCCTAAAAACACTTCATTTCTTTTTCTTTTCTCTTTTCTTCTTGTGTGTGTGTGTGTGTGTGTGTGTGTGTGTGTGTGTGTGTTAGATGGATGCACTTGGCAGTGTGTGCAAATGTGAGCCAGCCAGATGGCTCAGATAAACTTAACAACCCAGAGTTTGATCTTCAGTACCCACACAATGGAAGAGAGAACCAACCTGTACAAGCTGTCCTCTGACACTCACACACATAAACCATGGCACATATGCCCCTTCATACCCATGCACACAGGATAGATCAAAATGTATTTTTTAAAAGCGTAATAAAGATATGTGGGCATAGCGGTACACGCCTGTAATCCCAGCATTTGGAAGACAGTGGTTGCAAGCTCAAGATCAGCCTGGCCAGGGCTACATACTACGATCCTCTTACAAAAAGAAAAATGTTAAATAGTGTGATGTTAAACGTACCCCAAAATGTCATGACCCTATTGGGAGGTGGGGCCTAGCAGAAGGAAGTCAGGCTACTGAGGGAATATCTCAGCTATTTTGCCACCGTGATTGGAAAGTTCCAGAAAGTCCCAAGAACTTTTCAAATCTCTTGTTTCATTTCATGCATTCATTTTCTTCCTTGCTTGTATTGAAACAGGGTCTCATGTAGCCCAGATTCACCTCAAACTTAATATATAGCCCAGAATGACCTTAAACTTCAGATCCTTCTACCTCCATCTCCCAAGTGCTGGGATTACAGTTGTGAGGCACCATGCTTGATTTTTGTGGGGCCAGGGGTTGAACCCTGGGTTTTGAGCATGCTACAGGGGCACTCCAGCAACTGAAGCCAGCTCAGAATGCTAAGTCTCTAGGCAAAAAGCCCAGACGCCCAATGCCAAGGGCTGGCAAGCTTTTACCATAAAGATCCAGATAGTAAATTCTTGAAGCTTTTCTTATTACACAGATTATGCCAAAACTATTCAGTTGACATTGTAGGTCCAAAGCAGTCACAGACTGTAAATGAAGGGGCATGGCTGCCTTCAATAACAGTTTTATCACAGTTTCAGAAATTGGGATTTTATAAAAATAATCATGTGCTCAAATCATACTTGATTGTATTGGGGAATATTAAGACATTTTTTGCTCACAATCTATTAGCATACAAATTGGGGGTGTGGTTGGAGAGATGGCTCAATACTACTCTTGCAGATGACCTAAGTTCAATTCCCAGCACCCAAATGGGGCAGCTCACACCTGCCAGTAACTACACCTCTGGGGGATCTGACACCGCCTTCTGCACTCCTCAGGCACCTGTGCACACGCTCGCGTACACACACACACACACACACACACACACACACACACTAAATGAAAAGAAATAAATCTTAGAAAGGAAGAAAGATTTGGTACCAGGCTTAGTGCATACACCTATAATTCCAGAACTTGGGAGACAAAGTCAAGAAGATCATGAGTTCAAGGTGTGTGTGTGTGTGTGTGTGTGTGTGTGTGTGTGTGTGTACTCTCGTGTCCTTTCTGTATGAATGTAGACCTGTAATTCTGTGTAATTGTTCGGGTCATATGCCCTCTTGAGGCAAATGTATGTCTTCATACACTGTTTCCAAACCTTTTACCAATTTATCTTTTTTTTTTTATAGCAAGGTCTTATGTAGCTCAGGCTAGCCTTCAACCGACATGTAGCAGAGGAAGACCTTCTGGTCCTCGTGCTTCCACACCTGAAGTGTTGGGATGATAGGCATGGTTACCATGCCCCGTGTTACGGAGTTTACAGATCAAACCCAGGGCCAGCGCATACTAGGCAGGTACTCTCCCAACTGAGCTTCATTCCTGGCCCACACAGTTACCAACTTTATTCTCCAGCAATATGTAGCTTCAGGACATGCACTTATATCTGGTTCAGAGTAGGAGATGCACCCTAAGTCTGAGTTTCAATAGACTAAACTCAAGCTACCTAGAGGTATTTATTATACATAAATTACCATACTCTGTCCAAAACAAACTAAAAATCAAAATCATACGATTCATCATCCCCCCCTCCCTACTCTCTGACA